AGACAGTCCTACCTATCTCTCCGGAATCCTTTAGTGCAACGGTGTGAAGATTCTTGAAATTTTATTTAATCATGCCTTAAGTGCTAGTTAGTGTGCCTTAACTGCAATTGCTGTTTGATGAATCAGGAGTGGTCCCTAGTATGACAACCAGACTGGGATATGGGCTCTGTTCTAGGCTATGAATGCTTATCACTAGGCTAGTTTCCTTTAGATTGCATAATGTGGTATGAAGAAGTGAGCTCAGGATTTGCTGGTGTATGGGTTCCTTTTAGAAAAATTGCTGCATCTGCTTTTTGCCCTGTATTTATTTTATAGTAACACTGCAAACTTGCCAGCTTTGCCTGACATTAAAGGCCTGTCCAACAACCAATAGGGTAATGCATTTTTACCATACACAAAAGTGAAAAAGTATTTGCCCTCTCCTGATTTTTTTTTTTTTTTTTTTTTGCATATTTGTCACATCTAAATTATTCAGATCATCAAATTTTGATTACACAAAGATAGTGGCTGAGTAAATACAAAATGCAGTTTTAAATGATGACTTCATTTATTGAAAAGAAGGGAAAAAAAGCTGTCCAAACCTACCTGACCCTGTGTGAAAAAGTAATTGCCCCCCCCCCCTCTTGCTAAGCCATGAATGAACTGTGATTACCACATTTTTTGGAAGCTGATTGCCAGACCTGTTGAATCAAGAAATCACTGACATAGAAGCTGTCTGACAAAAAGCACACTAAAAGATCTCAAGTTGATATGTATCAGTCTGGAAAGGGTTACAAAGCCTAAGGCTTTGGGACTCCAGCGAATCACAGTGAGAGCCATTATCCACAAATGGAAAAAGTTAGAACAGTGGTAAACCTTCCCAGGAGTGGCCAACCTACCAAAATACTCCAAGAGCACAACGACGACTCATCCAGGAGGTCATAAAAGAACCCAGAACAACATATAAAGACCTGCAGGCCTCACTTGCCTCAGTTAAGGTCAGTGTTCATGGTTCAACAATAAGAAAGAGACTGGGCAAAAATGGCATCCGTGGGAGAATTCCAAGGCAAAAGCCACTGCTAACCAAAAAGAAAAGAAAGGCTCTTCTCACATTTGGCAAAAAACATATTGATTATCCCCAAGACTTTTGGGCAAATATTCTGTGGACCGATGAGGCAAAAGTTGAACTTTTTGGAAGGTGTACATCCCATATCATCTGGCGTAAACCTAACACAGCATTTCATAAAAAGAACATCATACCAACAGTCAAACATTATGATGGTAGTGTGATGGTCTGGGGCTGCTTTGCAGCTTTAGGACCTGGGCGACTTGCCATAATTGATGGAACCATGAATTTTGCGCTCTACCAGAAAATCTTGAAGGAGAATTTTCATCCATCAGTTTATGACCTCAAGCTCAAGCAGACTTGGATTATACAGCATGACAATTTGAAACACACCAGCAAGTCCACCTCTGAATGGCTCAAAAAAAAAAACTAAAGTTTTGGAGTGGTCTAGTCAAAGTCCAGACCTAAATCTGATTTGAGATGCTGTTGCATGACCTTAAACAGGCTATTCATGCTGGAAAACCCTCCAGTGTGGCTGAATTAAAACAATTCTGCAAAGAAGAGTGGGTCAAATTTCCTCCACAGCTATGTGAAAGTCTCTTTGCCAGTTATCGCAAATGCTTGATTGCAGCTGTTGTTGCCAAGGGTGGCACAACCAATTATTAGGTTTAGGGGGCAGTTACTTTTTCACTTGGGCCAGGCAGGTTTGGACAGCTTTTTTACCTTAACTGAAATTGTCATTTTAAAAAAACTGCATTTTGTATTTACTCGGGTTACAGTGCCTTGAAAAAGTATTCATACCCCTTGAAATGTTCCGCATTTTGTCATGTTACATCCAAAAACACATAAATGTATTTTATTGGGATTTTATTTGATAGACCAACACAAAGTGGAAGGAAAATGATAAATGGTTTTCAAAATTTTTTACAAATAAATATGTGAAAGTGTGGCGTGCATTTGTATTCAGTCCCCTGAGTCAATACTTTTGTAGAACCACCTTTCACTGCAATTACAGCTGCAAGTCTTTTTGGGGATGTCTCTACCAGCTTTGCACATCTAGAGAGTGACATTTTTGCAAAATAGCTCAAGCTCTGTCAGATTGGATGGAGAGCGTCTGAACAGCAATTTTCAAGTTTTGCCACAAATTTTCAATTGGATTTAGGTCTGGACTTTGACTGGGCCATTTTAAAACATGAATATGCTTTTATCTAAACCATCCCATTGTAGTTCTGGCTGTATGATTAGGTTATTGTCCTGCTGGAAGGTAAATTTTCGCCCCAGTCAAGTCTTTTGCAGACTCTAACAGGTTTTCTTCTAAGGGCTCATGTACACGGGGCGTTTGAAAAAACTTTTCTGACCGCTGGAAACTGACTGCTAGAAAACGTAGGTTAAAAACGTCAGTTTAGCCGTGTTTACCTACTGCATTTATGCGCGTTTAGAAGCATTTTTAAAAGCCTCGAGAGATCCCCCCAAATGCCCAGAATGCACTGAAAAATAGTAAATAATTAACTATTTCAGACATTTTGTGAGAAACAGTGCAGAAGCAGAGAGAACACTACTTTCTGATGGGTGTTGCAACTGGAGCAAAAGTGGCTTGTGAAACATGCTTGGCACTTTGGGAGGAGCTACATAGTGATGTAATGCCTCCGGATGCATTCTGGAGTGCACACAACACTCCTTGTGCTTTTTTGCTGTGTTTTGATGTGTTCCACTACAGTTCTGTGCAGAAATAATGCAGCACATTCTACCATTTTTTTCCTGCATGCGAAACCTGGAACGTACTGCACTGGTGTACTAGGTCCATTTGAATACATGGAAAATGCTGTGCATGCATTTTTGATGATGAAAAAAGGCTCTGGACAGTATCTGGATATGGACCAGCCCAAAAAAGCATCTAAACGCAAACACGCATAAACGCCTTTAAACGAGGTTACAAGCGTTTGGCGTTTAAAACGCCAGTAAACTCTACTCCTAAACTGAGTGCTTTCAAAAAAATGCCTGTAACCTCAACTGCCTGTAAACTACTGAAAATTACTATGTGTACATGGTCACATAGGAAAACATAAAGGAGAGTTCAGGGGCTGCTGAAAAAAATGCACAACTGCTCCTAAAGTTTAGTTTAGCAGCTGCAGTGTACATGAGCCCTAAGATTGTCCTGTATTTGGCTCCATCCATCTTCCGATCAACTCTGACCATCTTCCCTGTCCCTGAAGAAAAGCATCCCCACACCATGATGCTGCCACCCCCATGTTTCACGGTGGGGGTGGTGTGTTCAGGGTGATGTGCAGTGTTAGTTTTCCATCACAAATAGCGTTTTGCTTTTAGGCCAGAAAGTTCAGTTTTGGTCTCATCTGACCAGAGTACCTTCTTCCACGTTTGCTGTGTCCCCCACATGGCTTCTCACAAACTGCAAATGAGACTTCTTATGGCTTTCTTTCAACAATGGCTTTCTTCTTTCCACTCTTCCATAAAGGTCGGATTTGTGGAGTGCACAACTAATAGTTGTCCTGTGGACAGATTCTCCCACCTGAGTGGTGGATCTCTGCAGCTCCTCCAGAGTTATCATGACCCTCTTGGCTGTTTCCCTGATGCTCTCCTTGCCCGGCCTGTCAGTTTAGGTGGACGGCCATGTCTTGGTAGGTTTGCAGTTGTGCCATACTTTTTTCCATTTTCAGATGATGGATTGAACAGTGCTCCATGATGTTCAAAGCTTGGGATATTTTTATAACCTAACCCTGCTTTAAACGTCTTCACAACTTTCTCCCTCACCTGTCTGGTGTGTTCCTTGGCCTTCATGATGCTGTTTGTTCACTAATGTTCTACAAAAAACCTCTGAAGGGCTTCACAGAACAGCTGTATTTATACTGAGATTAAATTACATACAGTCGGACTCTATTTACTAGTTAGGTGACTGCTGGAGGCAATTGGTTCCACTAAGATTTTAGTTTGGGGGGCTGAACACAAATGCATGCCACACTTTTCAGATATTTATTTGTAAAAAATGTTGAAAACCATTTATAATTTTCTTCCACTGCACAATTACGTGCCACGTGCCAGTCTATTAAAAAAAAAAAATACATTTACAATTTTGGTTGTAACATAACAAAATGTGGAAAATTTTAAGGGGTATAAATACTTTTTCAAGTCACTGTATCTTTGTGTAGTATTAAAATTGTTTGATCTGAATCCTTTAAGTGTGACAAGTGTGTGTTTGTGTGTGGGTGGGAGGAAGGGGGCAAATACTTTTTCACAGCACTGTAGGTGTTGTTGGGCAGTTTTTTGTGTAGGTGAGTTGCAGACCATTGTCAATTGTGACCCAGAATTTGACTTGGCAGTTCTGGTAAGTAGAAAATTAGCTGTTTATCAAATGCAAAAGCAGAGCGTTGCTCTTAAAGTGCACCTTTTACTTAATTAAACAAACGCTGTCAAGGAGTGTACTCATGAAAGTAGACAACTGTACTTAGTTCTTCCAGTGCTAAAGATCTATGATTTAAATTCATGGTTTGGAACATTTCAACTTCTGTGTCCCCGTGTTGTTTTACAGTTACCATGGAAGTGCAACAAGAATAGGTTGTGGGGGTGTTAGATGTGATGGGTTATTGAGTATCACATATCATCACTGGAACTAACACCAAACTCATCCACTATGGTACCTCTTTCCAACCGGGCCTTAATGATGTGCTGGTGGGGTTAGAACTGGTATGTGGGTTCATGATTTTATTAGTGTGGAAGTCGGGACTTTACATTACCCTTCTAAAACACCTCAAAGCTTTCATAATTGAAAACAATGGAGGAGCAGTGCCTTCCCATTTTCCTTGCAGCATGTTTTCTTAAGCACTACAGGTGATCTTTAATTAGCTTTATATCATCTCTATATGAAATGCTTTATATCCCTAATTCGATGGATTGATGAATCTGTTTGTTTTTTCTTTTTTTTTATTATTGCTTATGATTGAACACCATTTGTCTTACAGTTATGAATGATATTATCACAACAATGTTTAACAAGAAGTTCATGGAAGAACTATTTAAACCACAAGAGCTGTACTCCAAGAAAGCCCTCAGGACAGTTTTTGACCGCTTGGCCCATGCTTCTATCATGAGGCTTAACCAAGCTAGTATGGACAAGGTATTGTACCCACCATTCACACTGAATTGTTTTGTTTAAAAAAATTAGCAGTGTAGGAATGATTACATTTTATGATATTCTACTGAGGAATACATTTTCATCTTTGCAACATGGATGACTTTTTCAATTCAAAAGCTGCATTCTTTACTTGCACTCTGTGCAATGCAAAAATCCTAAGCACTCAACCCACCTAGTCAGCACAAAAAGTGTTTTTATTGCATGCGCCCTGTGGGGCACATGTATGAAAACTGTCAGACTGGGGAAAGATCCCAACTTCAAAGTCGGGATCCAGCCCAGAGTCTGGAGCGCCACCTGGCTCAGACTACAGATGCAGCATCGGACCGATGCTGCATCCACCTAGGTAAGTGTAACTGGGCAAAAAAAAAAAAAGCTCTACTTCTCATGATAATGCCAAACCTGTCACTTTGGTTGCAAAGCAGGCCGAAAGATTAATGGTGACATATTTGCATGTAAAACACACATGCAAACTGTTGATCTGAGATGCAGCTGGGTTACTAAATGTTCTCTTGTCATGTGACTTATGACAGTCACCCTGTCACATGACACAGTGTGTGGGGAGTGCTTCTCACTCATGCACACCAGTTTCCCTCTGACAGCTAGCTGCGATAACAAGATTTCTCATTGATTACCGCTATGCTTTGTGAGGTTTCCAAGCTTAGAGAAAGCAATAGGCAGCAGGTGAAAGCAAGATCTAAGAAAACATGTACAAGACTGTTATTGGGACAATTTAAATGTCAGGGTGAGGGCTTGGGTTTTGTAAATCAGGAAGCATTGGAGCCAGAGGATCAACATCACAGACAGGGAACTATTAATTTAATATTAAAGGGATAGTTCACCTTTACCAAGGAACTGCCTATATAGGCAGGTAAGGGGTGTCTATAGATAAAAACAAGCTGCAGCTTTGACTAAAGTTGAAAAATAACCTTCCTATAGGTGTAGGCCATTTATGTACCTCATGAAGTCTGACTGGAATACTCCCAGGATGTTGCTAAGTGGAGGCCCAGTTATTACTGTTCACCCCCTCCATCACAGGAGTGAGCTCCTAGGTGCCGAGCTCAGAGTTACTGTATCAGGGAAGAGAGAGAGCATGGGAGGAGGACTGAATCAGAGAAAAGCTTGCTCCTATGATGGTGGGGGTGAACAGTAATGATTAGGTCTCACTTAGCAAAGTCCTGGAAGTACTTGGCAACGTCCTGGGAGTATTCCAGTCAGGCTTCACGAGGTACGTAAATGGCCTACACCTATAGCAAGGAAATTATTCATCTTTGGTCAGAGACACACAGTTTTTTTTTATCCACAGATGCCCTGTCAGGGCTCCGGGTATGACCAGAGGTGTGTGGACTGACACAGGGAAACGCAGGCTTCAGATATGGTATAAACAATATGATTTATTAAGACTAACAATACAAAACACAGTGCAAAACTAAACATAAACACAGTGCAAACAAACCAAACCACCTACAGATAACAATACATACAATGCAAGAGTCGTCAGGCAGGCCGGGTCAGTAGCAAACGGGTAAACGGAGTACCAGGAACAGGCGGGAGAGTGGTCGGGGTCACAAGCTGGGTTCAGTAACTCACGGGCAGCGCGGTGCAGAGGGTCAGGCAGAGAATGGTCAGCGTCACAAGCAAGGGATCAAATAGGAGAAGTCAGCAGAGGTCAGGATCAGGCAGGGTCGGCAACAAGTCAGGCAGAAACAGGAACAGGAAAAACAGGATACAAGATACAGGGGCCCATGGAAAAACACACACCAAGGCCCTGACTGTGAGTCTGGCCATTCCTTAAATACAACCCCTGCAATCAGCTTCAGGTGTTTGGCTGACTGCAGGGGTGAGTCTCTGATTGCTGAGAGCACCCGCTGGCCAGCCCTGGTACTGCAGCCCACAAGGCAGGTGAGTCCCACCATTATTGGCAAGTCCATTCCTGACATGCCCTTTACCTGTATAGGCAGTTCTTTGGTGAAGGTGGACTTTCCCTTTAACCACTTGCTAACCGTGCTATAGCCGAATGACAGCTACAGCGCGGTTGTCCAGTTTTGGCGCGCACCTGGCGATCTCCATGATCGCTGTATCCTATGGACACAGCTGATCAAGTGATAAGGTAAAAGGCCAATCACAGCTGCCTTTTACCACGTGATCAGCTGTGTCCAATGACACAGCAGATCATGGAGTAAATACAGTTGCCGGTGAGGAAATTACTGCCAATAACCAACAAATGTGACAGAACAGATCGGCACTGATGATCAGTGTTCTAATGATCAGTGCCCAGCAGTGCCACCCATCAGTGCTGTACAAGCAGTTGTGCCCAGCAGTGCTGCCAGTCAGTTCTGTCAGTGCTGTCAGTCAGCGCCGCCCGTCAGTGCCACCTATCAGTGACCATCAGCTCCACCTATCAGTGACCATCATTGCTGCATATCAGTGCAGCATCATCAATGCCCACCAGTGCCACCTCATCAGTGCTGCTTATCCGTGCCACCTCATCAGTGCCCATCGTTGCTGCCTATCAGTGCAGGCTCATCAACACACATCAGTGAAGGAGAAAAATTACCTGTTTCCAAATTTTATAATAGAAACAAAGAAAAACTTTTTTTTCCAAATTTTTAGCTATTTTTTTGTTTATAGTGCAAAAAATAAAGCACCCAGTGACGAATAAATACCACCAAAAGAAATCTCTATTTGTGTGAAAAAAATGCTAAAAATTTCATATGGGTACAATGTAGCATGACTGCGCAATTGTCATTCAAAGTGCGACAGCACTGAAAGTTGAAAATTTGGCTGGGCACGAAGGGGGTAGAAGTGTCCAGTAGGCAAGTGGTTACGAGTGAAAAAAGACCCAAACCTCTTCCTTACCATTAAATGCAGAAGATGAAAAAAACGTTTTTTGAACTTTTGCTTTAAAAAAACTTTTCCCAGTGGCCCGATGTGACGTCATGATGCCGCTCCGGTCCTCCATCATGATAGAGGTGTTCAAAGACCATAGAGTCTTTCATCGTCACCATCTTGAGAAGGCCGCACCGATGGATCATTTCTTGGGCTGGCTGGCATTAACCGTAAGCCCGAGAAACACTGGGCAGCAGTGAGGGGGGGGGGGGGACATCCCCCTCCGCTGCTATGGAAAGCGATCTAGGGGCTCAAGAGAAAAACTTTTTTTCTTTTTGTAAATTTTTTGCTCTTTTTTTGTTTATAATGCAAAAAAAAAACACACCCAGTGGCAATTAAATACCTCCAAAAGAAATCTCTATTTGTGTGAAAAAAATTATAAAAATGTCATATGGGTACAGTGTAGCATGACCGTGCAAATGTCATTCAAAGTGCGACAGCGCTGAAAGCTGAAAATTGGCCTGGGCAGGAACGGGGTAAAAGTGCTAGGCAGGCAAGTGGTTAAAGAAGTCAGTAACGGCAATCTATGCATCTTTCTCATGAACATTTTTTCTAGTATATCATTTTTTTTTTCTTTTTTTATGTTTTGAATACAAAATAACTCCAAGAAGTGTAATTTGTTCACCAGCAGTAGACTATTTACTATACATTTTAACATCAAAACAATGGTGGGGAGATGTGTAGTGCAAGATAGTATATAAAAGAAAGTGAAATTTCCCATTTTTGTACAACAGGTCAGAATACAAAACCATTTAGATTTCCCATTTCTACACAACAATTTTTATTGTGCCACCACAATGTTTCCCCTCTAATAAATTGGAATACATTGTTTTTATAGTTTGTTATTAGTGCTCAAGCCTTATTGGAAGGTAGACTGCCTACACATCCACAGTTGTCATGGTTGAGTTTACCTTTATATTTTATGCTGTGTTGCTGTTCAGTGTTTATTTTTAATAACAATCTTCAATCCTTAGATTTCTATTGCATCTAATATACGATTTGATTTGCTCTTCTTTTATGAGTGCAGCTCTATGACTTGATGACTATGGCCTTCAAATATCAAGTTCTGTTGTGTCCTCGTCCCAAGGATATCTTACTAGTTACCTTTAATCACATGGATGCTATCAAAGACTTTATCCGGGATTCTCCAAGTATTCTGAACCAAGTGGATGAGACTTTCCGGCAGTTGATTGATGTAAGAAGGGGATTTAATAATAAATATAGACAATGTGTGGGAAATGTTTGTGTTGTCCAGTCAGTAAAATAATGGGGGAACCTAATGCATGAATGTGTTGAGTTTGTGACCCTGAAGAGAGAGCGGCTAATGGCATGCAGACATTTAAGACGTTGTGTTGCTGGTATCCTTGCACTGCTTCATAAAGGCAACCAATGGCTATTGTAGCTGAGCTGATGCTTGGCAGACTTGAATTGTCAGTTGTAAAGTACGGTTACTTCCTTCAAAGCCCAACTTCCATTTTATAATTGTCTCAGGATGTCTCAAGTTTTCTGCGCACAGCACACATATGGGACAAGTGGTGTTCCTACCTCCTGTGAGAACACAGTTTGCACGTTAGCATAGGTAGTACGTTACTACAACATTCCAGTCTTTTTATGTCTTTTTCCTCGGGCCAACAAAGTATTGTTTAGAAACATATGTTTTATATGCATAATGTTAAATGTCTAGATAAGAAGTCCTAAATATGTTTTATTTGTAGTGCTTATAATTTCTACATGTCATTATTCCCATAGATGTACAACTGTCTACCTGCAGGTGAGTTTCAACTGATCAGGCAAACTTTGCTTATCTTCTTCCAGGATATGCACATTAGGGTAAGACTTTTTTTTTTAACTGTAGATTTATACCATGTAATGTTTCTATTCTTAGCCTGATCTCTGTGCTTCTCTAAACACTGCAGGGGTTGGTAAGGTGTTGTGCATAGCTTCATAAACATCACAGCACCTTGCCTCAGTAGTTCTCTTAAAGTGTTATTAAACCCCAAGAGTAAAATCAGTCTGTATATGCAGTATAGTTGTTTTTTTTTTTATTTAAATATTTATTAATTTTTCAGATAAACAAACAAGTTATACAAACATACTCATTAAAACCTTAGCATATTATCAAAACATTTATCGTTTCATCCCTCTCCCACCCCTCCCCCTACCTATATACCCCCCATCCACATCTAATCCCTAACCCCTTCTGCTCTGCATTTTCATGTTCATTTCTAGAGATCGTAATCCCTATAAAAGAAAAACAAAATATGTTTCCATATTATTCTATGTTAATCCCCCATAACCTCTAAGGCTAGCCTTGACTTTTTGAATTCCTCCCATTTGTTCCATCTTGTATGGTGACTCTCCATCTTATCTTCATTCAAATGATAAAGTTCCTCCAATTTACATATTTGATCCACCCTATCCACCCACCCAGTCTTTTATTATCGGCACCTCCTGTCTCCTCCAATACTTGGGTATTAGTCCCTTTGCTGCAAGTATCTGGGTCTACTAGAATATCAACCTCTGTAATTTTCTGAATCAAGCTTACTATTTTCCCCCAATACTCTTGTATTTTAGAACACTCCCACCATATGTGATACATTGTGCCTCTACCTCCACATCCACACCAACATAAAGGTGAATGGTCTCCACTCAATCTGTGTGCCACACTCGGTGTGATATACCATCTTGCCAAACACTTATAATTCATTTCTACCTCCTGCATATTTATATTTCCATGGATTATTCTATAAATTTTCCTCTGTTTTTCCGCATCTATTGTTACTTCTATTTCTCTTTCCCATTTTTCTATATATGGAGGACTTATATCTGCGTTTATTTCAGTGAGAATCTTATATATTTTAGAGGTTCCGTGTTTCCTATCTCCCCGTGTACCTAATAAGTGCTCAAAAGGATTCCAATCCTCTTATCCCCTAAAGGCATTGGAAGCTTTCCTATTAAGTGTTTCAATTGAAAATAACGCCACTCATCCATTCTCGTAAAAACTTCTTCTTTTTTTTTTTTTCCAATTCCTTAAGTGATCCTATTTCCTTCCCCACCATTATATCCCTTAATTGCTTAATTGTGCATCTTCCTTCTTAATCCACTTCGCTGTGATACCGTCTTTACCTGGGGGGAAAAACTCTGTGCACCCTAAGGGCAATAACAGTGAATTATATTCCCATCCCATCTGTTTGTGTAAAATATCCCAAACTCTTAAAACAATAAATGTGAACAAACTTGTACTGTCTGCTAAGCCTGCTAATGTCTGCTAAAACATGCTATTTATACTCACTGTAGAACCTAAGGGGTTCTGCATTGTGTAAAAAAGCTGTTTGATCCTGACTTCTCTGCCCCTCCTCTTGTTCAAATGTCCATGCTGATAAGACAGACTGAACCCGTAGCCCTTCTGCACATGCTCTGTTTAGTGTGTATTGCTAGAGAGGTTTTTTTTTTTCTTGGGTGAGTGCATGTGATCAACACAGGGCCAATTAGCACTGTCCTGACCGAGGTCAGGAGTTCTGTATCCTCCTAGAGCAGAAAGAAAACTCCTCCTACAAGCTTTAACCAGTGCTCAGCTGAAGTCACAAGACTGCTCTAACTGCTGATGAGAAAAGGTATTAAGCAGTTTATATTTACTAAAATAATTGCATTTTCATGATGTGTGTATTGTGGGAGACCAGATATCGTGAATGCAGGGTATTGGGTTTTGTAACACTTTAAGAATCCTCAGCCCCCCTGATGCAAAAAAAGGACTGGCTCTTGGGAAGAGTTAAGCAAATAAACGCCTTGTTGGGTGGATGTCAGTCTGGAGGAGTGGGCAGTCCTAGGCAGGCTATATTTGCATGCAGACCTCCTTAGGTCAGATCTACATGTGATGCTGAGTCTACTATTGAAAGAACTGAAATCCAATGAATGAAAGGGGCAGGTCAGGCTAGGTAATGCTGAACATTCCTGCAGCCAGGAAGTTAGGCGGGCTCTATCTGACTTGCTGCAGCATTTAATGCACAATTTCAGTACATGACTGGAACCTGTACAGTTATAAAAGAGGGAAAGTAAGGCTGGATTTCAGTGTTAATACTGGAAAAAAAAGTTTGGCCTTGAGCTTTACTTTTCATATAAATATAAGTTTGTACAGAGGATCTATGAATGATAATGACTTCTATGTTGAAAACATAATTTTCAGGATCTTAATAGAGCTGAATTGGTTCCACTGTATCTGTTGTTATCTGATACTGCTATTTCACTGATATAAACCACTAGTCAAATACAAATTATTATTATTATATTATACAGTATTTATAAAGCGCCAATAGTTCGCTCAGCGCTGTACATTACAAAGGGGGACAGAACATGTGACAGAACAATACCAATACAATGCAAAACATGAGGGGATTGAGGGCCCTGCTCTTTCGAGCTTACAATTAACATTTTCTAATGTTTTATAAAGTTAACTTTCTATCTAGTAATCTTGTTGGAGCATTTCAAAATCACCTCCCTTTCCCTGGCTTGAAATGGTTTGTAATTTCAAAGACGTTGGGCTATACAATAACTTAATTCAGCTAACAGTATAATATGAGCCTGATCTCAATCCAGCACTGTGCATGAGATCCTCAGCTCTCCCAAGTCCCTTCTCATTGGCTCAGACACAGCAGCGGGAGCCATTGGTTCCTGCTGGTGTCAATCACAGCCAGTGAGGAGGGAGCAGGGGGTCGGGTACTTGAAGGGGGGAGGAACAAAGTGTGCCAGCGGGGGACCTGAGTAGAGTAGGATCAAGGATGCTCTGTGCAAAACCATTACACAAAGCAGGTAAGTATGACATCTTCCAGCTTCTAAAGTGCAGTAAAAGAATGATAAGTAACATAAGACTTGTTTCCATTGGTACCTAGAGCAGTTTTTAGATATACCTTCGATATTTAAGGTGTCCGAGTTGCTTTTAGCAACCAGTCAGATTCAAGCTGACATTTTCTTGAGCCCATAAAAAACCAAGGGGAAAACAAAATGAAAGGATGTGACTTGACTTGGGAAGCAAGTGCTTTTACATTTGACTTTGAAAATCCATGTTTTTTTTTGGCAGTTTCCTTAACCTCTCTAGCGGTATTCCGAGTGTAGCTCGGGGTAAAATGTCTATACCAAAAGCGGTAACCCCAAGCTACACTCGGGCTTACCATGCAGCACTGCATAGGGAGTCCCTGCAGCACTTACCTTGTCCTTGGCTCCCGCGATGTGTCCCCTGCAGCGCCCCCGGCCATCTCCTCCGTCTGATGCCGGCATCCGGCTCCTGTGTTCCGGTCCCCGTGACGTCGGGACGTACGGGCGCTGGCGGCGGGAAATTTGAAAGTTTAAAAAAAAGTCATTTTTTTCAAAACGATTCTACATAGTAAAACATTGCTGTTTCAACCCATTTCACATACATTTTGTCCCTAGTGCTCTGTCCTGTGCCCTGCCTGCATTTTGATTGTTCTTTCTGCCTGGAAAAAAAGAAAAGTCCATGGCGTCCAAAAAGTGTCCCTTTAGGTCAAAAGCGGGTTTAGATCAGCTAGAGAACAGCGATAGTAAATCAGGACCACTTGCAGAATTGAGTGATAATGATTCGTGGAGAAATTCGTCATCAGACACTGAAAACAATTTTGCGACTTTGCTCAGCGATGTGCGAACTTGGCGCTATATTTCAAATTTCAGTGTTTTTGGTTTGATTATATTATTGAATTAAATGTATGATTTAGAATCTTGTTCAGACAGATTTCAGTGAGTTATTCCTAAAAATTACAGCCTACAATAAAAAAACTACATATTTCCATGTAAAATAATGATACCGCTTTCAGCACCAAAAATCGGAAAGAATCATACCGCTAGGGAGGTTAATACATGCTATCAAAATTCTGTATCTTTTTTGTTAAATGCCTAACATTTGTTCCTTAGGTTTCCATTTTCTTAAAAGATAAAGTTCAAAACTCAAATGGGCGTTTTGTGCTGCCAACATCTGGTCCTGTTCCTTGGGGAACTGAAGTACCAGGTCTCATTAGGTGGGTGATAGGTCATATTTCTCTGACTTTAAATATGATGCATGATTAAAAGGTAGAATTAAAAATGATGAGCTCCAACTACAAGTGAAACTTTTCTGTTTTATACCAATACCTGTGTGAATTCATTAACCTGCAAATGTTCATTAAAGTGTATGTAACCTCTAGATCTGTTTTTCAGTGTGTTTGGCATTGTGCCTCTATTTGCAGTTCTCTTGAACGACTTGGAGTTTTTTGTTAATTTTGTTATATAGTTTCTTACTTGGAGATCTCACCAGTAACTGCACTTCCTGCTGCAGGTTGACAAAGCTACATCACAATTAGCAAAAGCATTGTCATCTTGTGTGTGCTTCTTAAAGAGGATCTTAACCTTAGAAAGAAAATATTTAAAACTAAAAATACTGTAGCTGCTGACTTTTAATAAAAGGTAATTTACCTGTCCAAGGATCCAGCACTGTCCTCCTCTGGCCCTGTTTTTTGCTGGTCTTTGGGTCCCCAGCACCTGCATGTTTACTGTGGGAAGCCGGCTGTGACTTCACAGCTGGCCTCCCGCTTCGCATGCGTGAGCCATGCTGTGCTTTGTAAATGGCCCTGCAGCCTCCTGGGACCTGTGACATGTCCCAGAAAGCTGCGGACAAAGGATGGGGGGGGAGGTGAGAGCGAACTTCAAAACCAGGTAGTCACTCACCCAAAATCCATAACGTGCCAAATGTAGTTGGGGAGGGGACATGAAGTGGAAACTCCCCTTTTGGGTGAAGTTCCACTTTAAGTTGATGTTTGGCTGCCTATCTGAAAGACCTGATAGGCAGCGCAATAATCAGCTGAAGGAGGACATGTGACAGGCTGACAAGGCTTCTGCTAATTTGGATGTGTTGGCAATATGTTTACAAACACATTAAGGCCAAATCACACCAGCCTGGACCTCTGGGGTATGTTAAATACATGCACATTAACGTGTTGCATTTAAAAAGCACATCCATTGGAAAAGGCTGCCTAATTAATCACAACAGACAAAAACATCATGCATTTAGCATTTTCGACATCTGGGAAGGTAAGTAGTAGGCTGGGAAAGGTGCATTGGGGTGCATTTCAGAATGAATTACGCCACATCGCTTCAACATATGTAACATCGCACACCTGTGTGAATGGGCTCTGGATGAATTCACTCCAGTAACAGACACTTAGGATGGTATTCAAAATTCACAAAGAACTAGCACAACTTAAGAACACGTTGTGTTGTTGCGCTGACAACTCATAGTAATGTACTGCTGTGTGTTGTGGGGCACTGCATTGCAAAAAATGGTGTATGTCAATTTTTTTGTCCACTCTGGTGCATTGCCTGCCTATTTATGTTTATGTTCTGCTTTAACGCAATGCATATTAACGAGCGTGCCGTAATGTAAAGCACCAGAGTGGACAGGTGTGGATACAATATGTGATAAACCAAAGGAAAGCATAGTCTTCAGTGCCATTTAGTAAAATAAAAGCTAACATTTAGGCTGCTATAGACAACACTTTCTTTTCTGTTTTCCTCTCTTTTTTTTATACATTTTATTGTGCCTCTACAGTATTTTGATGCAGTCATACAGGAAACCAGCAAGAGTATATTTTAGAACAGACTATACACAGTAAAAATAGATTCACAGATTTTACACAGAGGTAACGTTTTGTTTTAATGGGTACAGTAAATATTACTAGCTTATTAGGAATTAATCAAAATTGGTAAAGATTAATTTCAGGAATGGTTTATTTTATACACCGTTACATTGGTCTAGCCGCGACCAATGTAATATACCATACCTAGCCAATGCCCGTGGAAGCTGGAATTGCTAAAGTAGACACCGCTACTCCAGTGATCTCTACTTGCTTCCATATCATGTGCTGAGTGGCTGGCCTGATGCATTGTGAACACAGTAGGTCGGCCGCTCGCCACAGGCAGCATTCAGGGAATGCTCTGCATTCATTCAAAAAAATGCATAGCATTCTGTGAATGGTGCCCATGCCCAGCGGGAAACCTCCTGTGTTCACAATGCATCAGGCTGACTGCTCAGCATGGGGCCACAGGACCTGGAAGCAAAGGGAGATTGCTAAAGTTAGCAATTTCTTTTTTCAGTGATTTCCAGCTTCCATGGGCATTGGCCAGGTATGGTATATGCATAGTTACATTGGACCAGGCTGAACCTATGTATAAAATATACCATGCCTGGAATTCTTCTTGAAATTAGAATTATATTAGTTTTTACAATAAAGCTTTATGAAATAATATGATGAGGCTATGAAGTGGCATTTTCTATAGTTAAAATGATTTTTATTATATAAATAAATATATATATTTGTGTATGTGTTTGTTTGTTTTATAAAGGAATTTGTTCCTTTTTAGGATTTTTAGTTACAAAGGGGAAGAGGTGAAGAGAGTGGAGTTCCAGAATGGTGGGAATTATGTCAGCCCTCTTCGAGAAGGCTCTTACGATCTTTTTGGTGACCGAGTGCTTAAGCTGGGGACCAATATGTGAGTGCTTTGTCAGATGTGGAATATACCTGCATCTGTACTACAAAATCTGGCAGTCCCCCCACCCACAATGCAGACCTTCTCTCCACAAATCTGTTGTAAACGTAATACTTCATATTTTTCACCCACAAGAATAATTTAGACACACTATACAATGAAGTCTTTTTACATCCATATCTTATCACTTCATCATATATCCAAAGATATGACATTAGTTGTAGGGTAGTGGTGACTCTGGGTTGCAGTGTATTACACCAAAAAAAAAAAAAAAAACAATCTGTGTAGTAGAGTCCTGTCTACTGGATGTACAATATTCAGTATACTGCACGCACCTAAATAATGTTTAAAGTAGAACTCAAGGGTGTTTTCTACATACATTGCCCTGCATTGTAACGTTCACCCCCTCCATTCATAGTTCGTGTTTCTTTCATAGAAGCTATAACACCACTTCTATGAGTGGAGGAGGTAGGCAGAAAGTATGGGCATAGTCAAGAACTCTTGATGAGTGCCTGTCAGCACTTTTAACCCCCACTGCACTAGAAAATTTTGGCTGATAGGGTAGGGGGGCATTGGAGGTGGAAGAGTTCAAGAAATGCAGGAACACATCGGATTAATACTAAGTAATGTTCATATAATGATTTTCTTCTTTTAACTAAGCTTAGTCTTTAAAGGTAGCTAAAGCATTGTGAGTGTAGCCGGATCCATGGAAGTATGTCCATAAGTAACCCAAGGGGCCCACATCTTAAGAAATTTGTCACAAGTAGCTGACAATGCTAGATAACTTTTTGTTACTCATAAAACCATAAAGACAGGTTTTGACTTCAGGTAAGGGAAGGGACTGTGATTTCCATGCTGAGGCTATAGTTTGTTTTGTGGCTAGAAAAGATAAATGTGGACAGTTTGTGCTGGTGATTAAATAAAAACCTTCTGTCTGATCAAGTGGGAGAGCTACCTTTTTGGGTTGCGCTGTATTACATGTAGGAAATGTATGAGTTCAGAAACGTTAGACCAGAACATGGTTAAGGAGAGGACACGTCTACCAAAACTACTTAACATCACCAACCTCCATACAAAAAAGTTGATAAGGATGAGCTACCCTAGACAGGACCAGATACACCTCTGTTTCACAAAAGAAAGTTCCTTATATTGCTGTGATCTTTCATAGGCATCATGTATTAACCAGTTTGCAGTTTTGAAATATCCAGTTAAGTAAAAATGAAACAAGATCTGCAATGTTGTTTAAGGAAGATTAGTCACAGCTTCTGCTTAATGGGTTGCCACTAACATGAGAGCTCTGTAGTTACTGCAAAGCATGTGCTGAATTTTTAGTGGTACTTTAAATGTTCAAATTGCCATGGAAGAAATACTGCAGGAAGACTTATCAAATGAGTGTATTTAAATGTGTATTTAAATGTGGACTATGTTAACAGGTACAGTGTAAGCCGTTCTGTGGAGACTCACATGTCGGGGACATTGAAAAGTTCAGCCTCACACACAAAGGTAAGGCCAACCATAAAACTACGTCATTTTTGTGGTTGGTATATGAAGACTGAACATGCATGAAGGAAAAGTCTGACCAAGCCACTGTATATGACTCAATTTCACTAAAATGGATTAACATTATTTGAACACTATTTGGAAAGGTTTAGCTATGGAATAGGTGTGTGTGTGTTTTAATTAAATGGGCATGTAACTATTGCATTTTTTAAATGTAAAAATAAAGTGTCAGTTTATGAGGATGATTTAACACTGTTCAACAAATTTTTATTTTTTGCCAGATTTGGAAACAAAAGGATCCATTTCTTAATGAATTTCACATTCTAAGTTCAAATATAACAATGAAATTTGTCAATTGGCTCTAGTTTTTCTGTAAACGGAAAGTTTTCTACTATAGGCGTAATGACTACATAATGCACAATAATTATATGGATAGATGTCTTTCCACAAATATAAAGCAAGTGATATTGACTACATAACAAAGCCTAAATGGCATAATATATTGCATAGGATTACCAAGAAAAATTATAGCCATAAGCTAAGTTGAATCATTTTAATACTTAGGATTCTCACTAGTTTTGTCTTCAGTTTGTGTCGGTTTTGCTTCTCTTGGCTTTTCTCTTGTATTCGAGGAAAGGGCTATCTCTTACAACTGCACGTGACTACACGCTTCAGGTTCTTCCTCACTTGACTCAACCACGAAGGATTCTGGTGCTTTAGGAATTGGTAGCCCCTCTCCATGAGGAACTGGACGTATTGCCGATGGAATATTTGGATAGTGCACAGATAACTTTTTCTTCTTATTTACCCTTTTACAATTGGAGGCACCATACAAAAGTAACAATTACTAACATGATCTGTTGGCTCTCTCCAAATCATTGGCACAGCGAAAGGCATAGATGCCTTTTTTCCATTCAACCATTGCTCCAGTGCCGTCCCACAAGAATTGCAGCATATATGTGGTGCCCAGCTCTTGTCCTGGTCTCCTATCTTGCAGCCAAAATACAAGTTGTAGGCTTTCTTAATCATTCCTGTTATCCTCCTTTTTTGTGAGATAAAAGTTATTTCACCGCAGATATAGCAGAAATTATCTGCTTTATTCACACAAGTTCGAAGCATTACTGAGTAGCCTATATAAGCATAAAACGAAATGTAAAGACGCTGTCGAACTACAATCAGCTACAGATACTGCAGCTTTTATGCAGTGAAGTGATGCAATTAAAGGCTAATATTGCATCATCTCAGTATACATGCAATTTTCTATTGGTCACCAGTATCAATTGCGCAATATGCAGCTGAAGTTGCATCATAATTTTGAATGGCTTACGTCATTAGATGGGTGAATATATCATGGAAACTAGAGCCAATCAACATTTTTTAGGGTCATTTTCGTTTTCAGCACCCCAAAATTATGTAAGATTAGCTAATTTTATGCCCAAAACTTTTTACCTGTTGAACAGTGTAATCTTTGTGAACTGACTTGTACAATCAAAATTTCCCCAAAATTAATCTAATCAATGCAGTAATGCCTTAATACATAAAATGAAAACATTTCATGTATTTATGTTGAAGTATATTTAATTGAAAAAAAGCCAAAAATAACACCTATCGCTTGCTTTTGCTTTCATCACTAAGCATAAAGAGTGTTGAACTGGAACACACTGGTTGAAAAAAAGATGTTTTATGTACAACATTGCAATATGCTGTAGCTAGACAGCATGGATAAAGTATATGTGAAAAACCTTTTTTAGTTTAAGTAGAAATGAAAGGCAAAGTGTGTGCGTGTGTGTGTACGTGATAAGTGATCACAGAACCTCTTTTCACAGCTGCATAAGGAGCTTAAAGAGCTGAGGGTGGAGAAATAGCAGTACATTCATCTTCCCAGTGAATAGCTGGGAAGGGAGGGGTGTGAATCAGCACAAGTCTGATCATTGGAGGATAAGCAGGTTGTTCTCCCAGCTTAGCCAGGAAACTGACCACACTGGGATGGATATGATCTCATACCTGGTGTAGTCAGTGTGAAATAGGAAAGCAGGGGGGACTGGCAGGATCACCGGGTATTTCACAAAAAGGAGGCAATACAAAGAGAACAGGATACATTTTAGCACAAGTACATAGTATAACAAACACATATCAGGAATATGAACTGTTGGGGTAACATGTTCTTTAATCTTAAAAGTTAATTTTAAAGAATAACTAAACCCTGCGGGATACTTGCCCAAACCTTCCACAGATGCAGTGGTTACATCCCTCTCCAGCTGCTGTCCTGGTCTCCCGAGTGCCAGTTTTTCGCCCTCTTGATTAGCCAGCGAGGTATGAGATCATCCGGCGCATGTGCACAGGAGTCAATCATGCCAGCACGGCCGAAGTGTGCCAGAATACATGCTGATCTGTGTGTGGACATCTCAGTATGCATTCAGTATAAAACTGAGATCAGGCAGGTAAGTTTGTGATATGTAGAAGAGACATAGCATGCACAGACATTGCAATATAAAGCTGCCAGATTTGTTTTAAAAAATTAGTTTAGTTCTACTATAAGACAAAGAAACTGTAAAGCATTGCAAATCAATATTTTTTACAATTTTTGTAAAATTTTCATCAGTTATCAGAATCTGTTTTTTTGTTTTGTTTTTTTTTTTATTATGAATTTTCGAACATCAGTGCACCAGAGCAAGTTGGAAGGGAGCTGGGATCCTATCCTAAAGCACTATTTACTTGAGTCTAGGCTAGAGCAGAAAAGGGAATGAACTTTAAGAGCCCCCACAGAAAATATGATGTCTCACCATATTGCCTTCTCATAGACATAAGCAGAAAAGTAGGGAAAGTAAGACTTCTCTATATTACAAGTAACTGTTGGTTATTTTCATTTTGATAGGAGAATGTTGCACCAAATCCCTTGGCGAAAGAGGAGTTAAACCTTCTGGCACAACTAATGGGTGGTATGGAGCTGAAGAAGCCTTCCAGTGCTGACCACATCTTCCGTTTAAACCTTTTCACCAATGATGAAGAAGAAGAGTAAGTGGGAGATTATTCCTCTCAAGATAGCAGGAGAAAACAGTTTCAGGACTTCATAAGAGATGTGAATATTGTGGTATGGTGGCCTTTTTTTTATGCCAGGAAAAAGAAAGTTGAAGTAATTATTTTTTTTTTTTTTTTACAAGCCCGTGGTGCAATGCACAAAAACAAAACACAAAGTCAATCAAAAAGGGCATTGGTGTATGTCAAATGGTCCCCTCCCAAAAGAGGAAGGACCCCTTCCTGGCCCCCAGGGCACAAGTCTTCCAACACGGGGAGAGGGAGACCCAGGTCTACCTAGTCAAAAGGCTCAGCAGACCCCATTTCTGATCAGCTGAAGCCGACCAACAAGTACCGAGTGGGGAGATCGCCCAAAGACAGATCCCCAAGGCAGGAGAGGAAGGATCCTGATGGTCACACATCCTTCTAGATTTCAGGCTAGGCCCGAAGACCCACACCCTATATCTCTGAGTGAAAAGGTGACACAAAAATAAGTGCAGTGAAATACAAAGTGAAAAAAAAAATGCTAGACAATGGCTAGGCCATGAGTGAAGTAATGTTGCATAAACCGTGCACAGTTATATACGTTTGTGATTATTTTTTAACTAATTGCTTTTATTGTATAAAAGATGAATTTTTAGATGAAAACTTGCTGACAGTAACAAGTATGTGATAGGGTCATGTGACTGTTACTCAGCTGTTAAATCTTTTTATTGACATGCAAAAAGGCAAGCGGCACTGACAAGACCAGAAGAGCTCTCTTACAAAGTGATCAACATTGAAGCCAGTGAAGTAAGTGAAGAGTTAACAGTGATGGTGCTGTTGTGTTGTGCTGCTTCTGAACTCTGGGTATTCCCAAGTTTCTCCAGGCTCCCCAAAGAAAACTACAGGGAATATAACAAATTACATGCTTTATAAATGTAAGGAATTTTTGCTCTGGGTTGTCCAGTAATGTTTCAAACAATATTAAAGTGGTAAAAAATATGTTTTTATTACAAAGCTTCTCAGATAGGAAGATCTTATTCATGTGACCAGCTACATCTTGCACAAGGCCTTAGGTTGTAGAAGACAAATTGAAAGCAGTTTCTTATTAATTAAAGAAAATCTTTCTCTTGTAGTTATTTCTAGGTCCAAGTAGAAAAAAGGCTTCTGCCTGAACACAGCGGTGCTTTGTAATTGAAGGGAGGTTGGTCCTTCTACATTATGAGTATTTAATGGCTCTTTGCAGCCTATTGATAAAAAACCACAGTGCCCCTCCATTGTATACCACTCAACATCATTGGAAATTCTCCACACTGAGCCAACATATTTCATTTTTTTTTTTCAAAAAATACATAGCTTTATGCATGTGTTCTCTGTATAAAGCTGAGGAGAACCCTGTCATATGACTATGAACAGGTCATGCAACAGGTTTCCTCCCCCCCGCTCAATTCATTCGAATAAATGGGGTTTCATTTACTTTAGTACGGGGGTCATCAGTGTTTCCCCTCACTCCTTACATCATGGTCCTCATCAGAGTCGGCCCTTACATCAGGGTCCCCATCAAAGTTACCCCTTACATAGGGGCACCCATCAAAGTTTCCCCCTTAGATTAGCAGTCTCATCAGGGTCGCCCCTTAGATCAGTGTCCCCATCAGAGTATCTGCTAACATCAGGGTCCCCATCAGAGTCGCCCCTTACATCAGGGTCCCCGTCAGAGTCAATTTTAGGGTTCATGATGCGGGGCCCTGCTTTAAAGCCTTAAGTAAGTAAATCACATTTATAAAGCACGCAGCAATACTTTGTAATTGTGCCGGAGGAGGTTTGAATAAAACAGCAATGGTATGGCCACAGTTAAGCTGTACCGATGCTTTATATATGGGTCCTTCTGTGTTCATTTTGAATACAGGCAAAACTCAAAAAAGTAGAATATCGTGCAAAAGCCAATTTATTTCAGTAATGCAACTTAAAAGGTGAAACTAATATATGAAATAGACTCATTACATGCAAAGCAAGATAGTTCAAGCCGTGATTTGTCATAATTGTGATGATTATGGCTTACAGCTCATGAAAACCCCAAATCCACAATTTCAGAAAATTAGAATATTGTGAAAAGGTGCAATATTCTCGGCTCAAAGTGTCCCACTCTAATCAGCTAATTAAGCCATAACACCTGCAAAGGGTTCCTGAGCCTTTAAATGGTCTCTCAGTCTGGTTTCAGTAGGAATCACAATCATGTAGGAATCACAATCATGGGAAAGACTGCTGACCTGACAGTTGTGCAGAAAACCATCATTGACACCCTCCATAAGGAGGGAAAGCCTCAAAAGGTAATTGCAAAAGAAGTTGGATGTTCCCAAAGTGCTGTATCAAAGCACATTAATAGAAAGTTATGTGGAAGGGAAAAGTGTGGAAAGAAAAAGGTACACAAGCAGCAGGGATGACCGCAGCCTGGAGAGGATTATCAGGAAAAGGTGTTGGGGACTTTAACAAGGAGTGGACTGAGGCTGGAGTCAGTGCATCAAGAGCCACCACACACAGACTGATCCTGGACATGGGCTTCAAATGTCGTAATCCTCTTGTCAAGCCGCTCCTGAACAACAAACAACGTCAGAAGCGTCTTACCTGGGCTAAAGAAAAACAGACCTGGTCTGTTGCTCAGTGGTCCAAAGTCCTCTTTTCTGATGAGAGCAACTTTTGCATCTCATTTAGAAACCAAGGACCCAGAGTATGGAGGAAGAATGGAGAGGCACACATTGCAAGATGCTTGAAGTCCAGTGTGAAGATTCCACAGTCTGTGTTGATTTGGGGAGCCATGTCATCTGCTGGTTTTGGTCCACTGTGCTTCATTAAGTCCAGGTTCAACGCAGCCGTCTACCAGGAGATTTTGGAGCACTTCATGCTTCCTTCCGCAGATGAGCTATATGGGGATGCTGACTTCATTTTCCAGCAGGACTTGGCACCTGCCCCCACTGCCAAAAGCACCAAAACCTGGTTCAATGACCATGGGATTACTGTGCTTGATTGGCCAGCAAACTCGCCTGACCTGAACCCCATAGAAAATCTATGGGGCATTGCCAAGAGAAAGATGAGAGACATGAGACCGAACAATGCAGAAGAGCTGAAGGCCGCTATTGAAGCATCCTGGTCTTCCATAACACCTCAGCAGTGCCACAGGCTGATAGCTTCCATGCCACGCCGCAATTGCTGCAAAAGGGGCTCAAACCAAGTACTGAGTACATATGCATGCTTATACTTTTCAGAGGTCCGATATTGTTCTATGTACAATCCTTGGTTTATTGATTGCATGTAATATTGTAATTTTCTGAGATTGTGGATTTGGGGTCTTCATGAGCTGTAAGCCATAATCATCACAATTATGACAAATCACGGCTTGAACTATCTTGCTTTGCATGTAATGAGTCTATCTCATATATTAGTTTCACCTTTTAAGTTGCATTACTGAAATAAATGAACTTTTGCACGATATTCTAATTTTTCGAGTTTCACCTGTAGGCAGCAGCAAGGAATTTTAGGTCAATTTTAAGAGATATGGGGTGTTTTTATAGTTGTCATTTTAATGTTTTTCAATTTGCTTTTCCAGGACCAGGAGAGAAATAAGGAGCTTTCTCGTATTATGGGCGAGTTTCGATCCGAGGAGACACTGGTACAGAATACCAGCAAAGGAGATGATCTTCTAGCTCTAATGGATGGGCTGTGATGACAAAAGAAATTCTGTCTAGTCTAATAATATAATAATATATATCAAATGCCGGGATGGTGACTGTTTACCATGTGAAAACAGAAACTTCTCTATTCCATGTAATGTTAATAATTCTGATAAAGAGCCAAACAATGCAGCTTATATAAAAATACAGTGACAGGTCACTTTTATATTTGTAATATTGAGGTGTATATATGTATGTCTATGAATATATTCTATCTGGACATTTGACATCTTTTTTCGTTTTATTGTGATTTACAGAGCTATCTGTATCAAGATATGCACAACACGTCATCTTATGAGCACGTTTACCATATAGATATGATACCTCTAAGGCCTCATGCACACAGGGCTTTTTTGTAGCCACATTTAGGGGCGTCAGGTGTTTTTTATTTTTTTTTTTTTACTGCTTCCAAACGGCCCTCTATGTTATCCTATGTGTCCATGCACACATAGACTTTTAGAAGCTTTTAGTAGCAGTAGCGTTTACCAGAAGAAGAAAAAAACTGGGGCCAGTGTGTCCAGGAGCAGCAGCGTTTTGGTAGAAAAATGCTTGTCGTGACTAAACATGTCTAAATGCTTCAGTGTTCAGCGTCAATAAATTTCAGTGACCAGAATAAATTATCATTCTGGCCAATGAAATGAATTAATACCAAAACGCTTGTAAAAGTGTTAGATAGTTGTACAAGCGTCGGGTTTTTTTTTACAAAAAGGAGGACCGCTTCTAGGAGAGTTTTTTTTTTGTTTGTTTTGTTTTTTTTTATGTCCTGTGTGCATGAGGCTTAAATATCATCTGATATGTGAAGCATTAATTTGGCATTTTTAGGATGCCTCTGTGACAGCTAATAGTCGCTCTACTAGGCTTTGGGCTTCTCTGGCAGGAATGTACTTGCTTAGCCACAGACAGCCAAAAATAGTAGTATCAAAGTGAAAAGTGAATTTCATGCAGGGTCAAGAGTTATGAATGAAATTCACATTAGCTGAGATGGTTGCTGGTGAGACAGTGCTGAGTGGGTCTTTTTTTTTTTTTTTTCTCTAAACTTATAATTTCTTGTATTCTGTTAGGAACCCAGATTTCTGGCTTATATTTTGTCATCTTTCTGTGCTGACCAATTCACTAAATATATTTGTTCTCTTTCCTGCCAGACAGAAATCTGGGAAGAGCTGACACATAAACAAGACAAAATTGTGCCTTTTGTTTTGCGATGGTATCAGTTATTCCATGTACAGTTAGGTCCATATATATTTGGACACAGGCACAATTTTAGATTTTTGCAGGTATTTACCAAAACATTCAAGCTATAGTTATATAATGGATATGGACTGAAAGTGCACACTCTCGGGTTTAATTTGAGGGTATGTACATCCAAATTGGAGGAAGGGTTTAGGAATTATAGCTCTTCAGAGTAAGTCATCCCTCCTTTTTCAAAGGACCAAAAGTAATTTGGATAATTGAATCAAAAGCTGTTTCATGGCCAGGTGTGGGCTACTCCATTATTTATTCATCAATTAAGCAGGTAAAAAGGTCTGAAGTTGATTCTAAGTGTGATATTTGCATTTGGAATCTTTTGCTGTGAATCTACATCATGCATTCAAAGGAGCTGTCCATGCAAGTGAAACAGGCCATTGTAAGGCTTAAAAAAAACAAAACAAATCCATCAGAGAGATAGCAGCAACATTAGGAGTGGCCAAATCAACAGTTTGGTACATTCTGAGGAAAGAAGAACGCACTGCTGGGCTCAGCAACATAAAAAGGCATGGACGTCCACAGAAGACAACAGTGGGGGATGATCGCAGGATCCTCTCTATGATAAAGAAAAACCCATTCACAACACCCAGACAAGTGAAGGACACTCTTCAGTAGATGGGCGTATCATTGTCAAAGTCTAAAAGGAAGAGAAGACTTCACAAGAGCAAATACAGAGGGTATACTCCTCCCTAGGGTGTGATGTCACGTCGCTCAGGCCACGTGTCAGGCCGGCGGCCATCTTTATTGCTGTATACACTGTGAGTGCTCTGAATTTACCTTTGGCAATCTTTTTTAATAAAATACTACACTATCAGACTTTCTGTTTGGGCTCATTTGATTGCGAGCCCCCCCCCCCCCCCCCCAAGGTGGATTCTTTTACTGCTCTGCACCTGCCATTGAGAGAAGTCCCCCTGGTGGTTATTCATGATACCACTTACCTTGAGTGTGATCCCCCTGGTGGATGGCTGAGTGATTCCTGATCCCTGGAGGTTGATGACCCTGCGATTACCTGTCATTCTGCTGGTTGGCCAGTTGATCCTTGGATGTTCATCTTTCTATACCCAGAGGACCAGGAGTGGTTTAAGTACTCAAATGCGCATATTATTGCGCTATCTGGTTAGTGCAATTTACACTCATTTTACATCACTGGAGTCACGTCTTTCACTTCTATATAGATTTTGGGACGTCCACAGACGTTCATTGCACTTGAATATAACTTTAGCACCTTATAGCGCAAATATATCTGTTTATACTTTATGTGTCATTTGATTTTTAGCGCTGCATATATTTATGAGATTTTATGAAGGTTAAGAGGTTTTGCCTTTATGTCAGCTGCTTTCTTCCTGCACTACCTTGCGCCCGTATACCTTTTGTCATTGTTTTAATATTAATCTGTATCAGAATTACAGGAAGAAAAAGTGTGGAGAAGGCTTGGAACAGCTCATGATCCAAAGCACACAGCGTCATCTATAAAACATGGTGGAGGCAGTGTGATTGCATTAGCATGCATGGCTTCCAGTGGCACTGGGTCATTGGTATTTATTGATGATGATGTGACAGAAGCAGCTGGATGAATTCTGCAGTGTTTAGAGATATACTGTCAGTCCAGATTCAGCCAAATGCAGCAAAGGCGATTGGGTGGCACTTCACAGTACAGATGGACAATGATCCAAAACACACTACAAAAGCAACCCAGGAGCTTTTGAACGAAAAGAAGTGGAATGTTCTGCATTGGCTGAGTCAATCACTTGATCTCAACCCAATTGAGCATGCATTTCACTTGCTGAAGCCAAAACTAAAGGCAGAAAGATTTACAAAGAAAGAGCAACTGAAGACAGCTGCAGTAAGAGCCTGGCAAAGCAGCAGCAAGGAGGAAACCCAGTTTTTGGTAATGTCCATGGGTTCCAGACTTCAGCCAGTCATTGCCAGCAAAGGATTCTCAACAAAAATATTAAAAATTAACATTTTATTTAGGTATATATTAATTTGTCCAATTACATTTAAGCCCCTGAAAATGGAGGGACTGTGTATAAAAATGGTAGCAGTTCCTAAAATTTGTACTTGATATTTATGTTCAACCCCTTGAATTAAAGCTGAAAGTCTGCACTTCAAATTTATTCGGATTGTTTCATTTTAATTTATTCTGGTGGCATACAGAGCCAAAAGTATGGAAATTGTGCCTGTGTCCAAATATATATGGACCTAACTGTATATTGTATTTTTATGGCTTTTATTAAAGATTTTAAAATAAGTATTATTGTCTTCAAATTTCAAGCAAAAATAAAAGATGAAGTTTGGTAAAAAACTATTGACCAACTGAGTTATCCGTCATGGGGTTGGACCAATAGGAAGCTAGGAGTTAGACCAGCTCCATATACTGCTAGTATCAGAATTTACATATTAAAGAACAAATAAGTAATATGTAGCAACTTACCAATCCTTAAAGTGTTACTATACCCAGGACCCCGCATTCACTCTATCTGGTCTCCCACAGTACACACAACATGGAAGTGCAATTATTTTAGTAAATATAAACTGCTAAATACCTTTTCACATCAGCAGTTAGAGCAGTCTTGTGACTTCAGCAGAGCACTGGTTAAAGCTTGTAGGAGGAGTTTTCTTTCTGCTCTAGAAGGATGTGAAACCTCTAACCCTCTGTCTGGACAGTGCTGATTGGCCATGTGCTGATCACATGCACCCTCCCAATAAAAAAAAAACCTCTCTAGCAATACATACCAAACTGAGAATGTGCATGCAACCACAGGTTCAGTCTGTATCAGGTGGTCATTTCAACAAGAGGAGGGGCAGAGAAGAAAGGATCAAACAGCCTTTTTACACAACGAAGAGGATTAACCCCTTAGGTTCCACAGCGAGTATAACAAGCATGCTTTACTGCATATACAGACTGATTTTACTTTTGTGGGTTTAGTAACACTTTAAGGATGTCTGTGTTCATGTTCATTTTTCAGGTTCAGAACATTTTTGGTATAAGCAGAAATCTTGGCAGAAATACAGTATCCTCAATACTTCCTTTGAATGGAAAGCACAAACATAGGGTTTGATTTACTAAAACTGGAGAGTGCAAAATCTGGTGAAGCTCTGCACGGTAGCCAATCAGCTTCTCACTTCAGCTTGTTCAGTTAGGATTTGACAACACAACCTGGAAGCTGACTGGTTTCTATGGAGAGCTGCACCAGATTTTGCACTCTACAGTTTTAGTAAATAAATCCCAGTGCTATCCTTCTTCTATAAACTACTAATCCCCCCATAATAGAATTAAACCAAGGAAAACATGTTTGAAGTCCAGTCTGGGTGATAATCATGACTCCCTCAATAGATACAGTGGACGAGTGAGCATAGCAAACCAGGGACAAGAAGTGTTATTTTCAGTATTACCAGGTATAAATAATAGGGAAAAAAGCCTAAAAAAAGAATACTAATGAAGCTGCATATATACATTTTTTTTGTTTTTGGATTTCGATACACTTTTACCCAGGATTTGAGGCTCAGTGATAAGGGATAGAGGTGATATTTAAAGGTATGTAGTACCAATATATTAGTTCAGTTGGGAAATGTATTACTGACAAGTGTACATTAATCCCCTGCTAAACAGTTAATATTAGCAATGATCACAATAACAACAGATGCTGTGTTTTTGTTTTGTTTTTGTTCCCCAAGACCGGAAGATTGCAGTTCCTATCAAGTATTTAATGTCAGTCACCATTGGATTGAAATGGTTATATCAGAG